TCCCAAAATACATTTTTTTCCAGCAGGAGGCTTTCATAGGTTCAAAAGGCTTAGGCAGACCAGCAATCCAATTTATGTACACAAGAATGTCCCCATGTTCCTATTTCTTTCTCATAAAAGTTACTTTTGTTGCCTCTGCTGAAAAAATTCAAAAATGGGTGATTTTACTTGGTCATGTTCTTAGTGTTCCCTTTTATGAGAATTTACCACTGAAATAAACTACTACTCTCTTGAGAATATTACTATAATAGAAACCGTTCCTACTACTCTTTTAACTAACCCATGTGAACAAGAATGACAGAGATTTAAGTTGTCTAGGCCAGTGCCAATCAACGCTGTTCCACAACAAGGTAAGAAGCTTATGCCAGAAGGTTAAACAATGGACAACTATCTTCATGCAGAAAGTCTTGGTCCAAAAAAATGAAATATTACCTGAGCTAAATAATAAATAGTATGCTTAGTGATGTAGCTGGTTTACATTTTGGGTGCAAGTTCTTAATCTCATTTTGGATTGGTAATGCCACAATCCTCAGATCAGCAGTCAGGCCCACAGACAATGCCTGTGAGTAGCACTGGGGTCTGGCGGCTTGACTCGCGTGGCCACGGTTCACTTACAACAGACACACAGTAAGTCTGACCTTCGAGGGAGATAAATGCGCTGGCAAATTACATATGGTACAGAATTCTGAGAATAAGGAAAGTCTGAGTTTTTCTAAGGTACTTTATCTAATTCCACCTTTAATAAACCCTCAACAGTAGAATTATACTTTATAAGGGCATTATCTCATACACAGGTTAAAAAAAAAAAAGACAACAGAACAAAAGTATCCGGCCCACATTGTCCAGCTGGCTTTAATTAGTGGCAGAAGCTAGAACAGGCACTTTATTCCTCAACCATTAACGAAAACTGAAAAGTGAGAGGGTATTACAGACAAGCCTCACCTTTAGTGATGCTGAGCGTGTTATCACCACTTGCTACAAAATCGTAAAGTGCAACGAAGAGATTAGGGTCACTCTCAGTGGCTCCAAGCAAGTTCTCCTTGGAGCTCCACCTGATAGCTTCATTCAGCGCCTGAGGCTCGACATCACAACCGTAGGGGCGATGCAAGGCTTCTGAAAGACAAAACGAGAGAAGGGAATTCACAAGTTCAACAGCTAAAACCTCATCTGGATTCAGCACGCACAGTTCAGCCGCGGGCTCCAGAGTGAGACAGACTGTACCGTTTGCACCATCACGAAGAACGAGCAAACAGGCACTGGGTCTCCTGAGCATGAGGAAGCAATTTACTTGTTGAAAACGTAACAAGGTCATCAGAGAAAAAGACCACAAAATGAGAGTTTAACCCTAATTTATATGCAGGCACCAAAATCAGACATAAATGAATAGGAAAAGCACAATTTTCTCAAAATGAAAAAAAAAAAATCTCAAAAAGAAATGGCTACCAGCTTTATAAAGCATAAGCTAGTCTGTTGTGGTGCTTTTAAAGAAGAAGCAGTTATGTTTTATAAGTCTTCCCAAACTACCTTTCTTTCCTTACTCTCTTCATAAAAAAACAAATTGTAGAACAGGCAAGAGACTATTTTTCAGAACTATGTACATATTATATAAATCCAGGCCCTCTACATGTAGAAAAAATTACAGAAATAGTG